TGTCGAGGAAAAAATCAAATTTCTTTGGTGGCGAATATACTTATATAGTTCGAGTTTTGTCTACAACCATCGGTTCCACGTCACTTTGGGTAGAAATAGCTGGTATTTGCACAACTTCTGCATCGTCATCATCGTCGTAATTCGCACTAGTAGTTGTTGGTATATTCGTAATCACTTGTAGATACTTGGAAATTGGTAACTCTTGTAAATTCACTGATCGCGTGAATTCCAGTCGATTTCAATTGAAGATAATAGACACGGTACCCCTTACTTCAATCGAATACCATAGGAATATGCATCGAAATCGTAACTTGTCCAGCTTTAGACGTCTTGGTTGAGCAATATAGGCGTAACCTCATGCACCATATACTCTTATGTGCGACAGGTCTGGCTCAGTTCCGAAACACACTTCAATTGGCGTCTTGGTCGGGTTCGCAGCACAAGGGACTCAGTTAGTCACATATACCGCAGTATATATCGCCTCAACCCACCACTTCTTCTCGACTTGCATGTAAATAAACATCGATTTTGCTCATTCAGTCCGTGGCCGGTTCAGTCGTTCATCAATTCTATCCTGCTGCGGCGAATATGGCACTGTCGCTAAGTGCTCGATACCAGCCCAATGACAAATTTTTGTTACGATCTTATTAATATATACTTGCCACCATTGTCGATGAGGATACACTTATTCTTGGTGCTCAATTGATTCTCCATCATCGACTTGTATCAATGAGCTTGTCCACCACATAAGACTTAAGTGCAATATAGTAAGCAGCAACATATCGTGGATATTAGTCCAGAAATTTTACCACGAATGTTTCTCTTCTTGCGACTTGGTCTCCATTGGTCCTAATACGTCGCTGCGAATAACTTGTAACAATGAAGTGGTCTTTACTTCGCCGGAAGTAGACTTTCGGAAAGGCTTAACTGACAACCTTCTGGTCACACTGTTAGAAAATTTATCTTTCTGACAATCCAAGAAGGTGTTGCGGGTCAAGTGCAAGACCTGGTACAGGTAAGCCCGACCTCACCTGATTGGTTTATAATATATCATAATGACAGATGGGACTGGAGAGACGGTCGTCATGTGACAGGACAACACATGGAACGAAGAGAGACGGACGTCATGTGACAGGATGTCACATGGGACGGGAAGAGACGAACACCATATGCAACTTGACATGATCAAGTTGTAGTTTCTGCTTCTGCTTATACATATCGTAGTGTGATAGAAGATAGTTTTTAACACACAATACATTTCACTTTTACTTCTACCCCTTTGCAACAAGTGCATCACTACATTCATACACACACATCCTTCGCATACCTTGTCTTGGTCATCATCAACGACAGACGAATATTTAATCTTAAATCCTATAACACACATGTCGAAAGTTTTCCATTGCTTTTATTGGCAGATGTACTAGTCGTACATGCCATACACTTGAGCTTATAGATTCGGCTCCATCCACAACCTCTTCACTCACGTTTGCAGATTCCAATGCATTACAATCCAGCACAAACAGTTTACCCTTTTGTGTCACTTGAGTCACCACTTCTTGACCATTACTAATCTCACACATTTCGTTTTGAAAGTTATCGTGTATTACTTTTGCAGACAATGCAGAAATCGATATAAGACGACGATCCTGCTTTAAACTTACAGCACGTCTTCAATACGTATCGATTCCTTGTTCTTCAACACGACACGAATTGTCATAACTACAGCAGCCAAAACTGTTTCTCCATTCGCAATCGAAATTACAACCGACCTGTTAAGCAATCCTATTTCCACAAAATCATCTTGAAGTGGGCACATATGACTACTCGTACCACTGTCGAGTAGCTAACCTTCAGAGATATGTTCACCCACAGTGAGCGGTTGATCTGTTTTTTTCTTTTTGTCTGGATTCTTCCGGCAATCTTGTTTCTTGTGTCATTGCTTTCCGCAAAATAAACACGTATCACTAAATTTGTTTCTAATTTCATTCGACTGAACACTCTTGCTTAAAAAGCTTCTTGTGTCCTTCAGTGCGATTTCGCTCTTTTCTTCCAAGCATTGCCTTCGTATTCACGACGAAGCATTTCATTGGCTTATAATAAATAATACCTTTCATGTTCTAGATAATCTTGACGATCTGATCGTAATTGTTAGACAAGATTCCAATCAGAATAACGAGCCGCTCATCGCGCGTGACCTTGTCACTGATGGCTTTCATTGACATTCAGCTCATCAATGTTGAGGAAGTGATCCATTGTACTTCGTTCTTTCTGCAACTAAAACTCGTGCCGTTGTCGACGCATCTGTACCCGATTGTGAATGCTTCTTCGAAGAATGAAGCTCTGTAAATTCCCCCACTTTCTGCAGTTGTCCCTGCATTACGGAACATGGATTGAAGACTTGGGTTGATCATCTTTCACACGTTTTCGAAGGCCTTCATATCGTTTACTTTCCATATCGACGCGCTAGCGTCATCTTCACTCGGTGCCTCCGTCGCGTCGATGTACTCCAACCGCCCCTTATTGGCAATCTCCATGCGCGTTGAACTTCCATACGAAGTAGTTGTCTTCGTTGATAATATCATTCACATCCTCGTGCTTACGCTCATAAACTGTAGATACTAGGACGAACAGAGGTAACAATTAACGAGGAAGCAAATGAAAAAGCAAATCTGCACTTATAAAACTCTACATATGTATATCAGCTGACTGATTCAACCTAAATGGATCAACCTTGAAAGTCATTCTGGAGGCCTTTAATTTAAACAGTCACAACATCTGCTTGTGGTACGTCACTGTTGTCCACTCGAAACAGTGACGGTCACATTAGCGTATCGCGTGAGTGTCTGCTGAGCTTCCATCTCCAACAATACCTACCTCAACTTGTAGGCCGTTACTGCCTCATTTCTTTCGATATGCCATTTGTTTAGGAGCCACGACTAGGGCACACCCCAGTTTTGCTAGGGGCACACCCGCCCGCCCAAAATGATGATTTAAAGCACTCTACATTTTATGGTGTAGAATAATGTACGTATACAGTCGAGTACAGTTTAACTACAACCCACTCAACAAAATTGCTGCAATTGAACGGCCTAGGGCTCTGGAGGGTAAGGAGACGAATTTTACCTACTGCAATAGGAGGAGGAGAGAGAGAAGATCTTTTGCTGGGGTGAACGTCTCTTGGGTAATACCGAGGAAGTCGAGAGCAAATCTGTTTCCAAGCATCGTCCGCTGTAGCTGAAAAACGTCCGAGTTCAGTATCGCCCTGTAGATAATCACTGTTGTGCTCATGGACATATCGTTGGCTCTCAGTTAACTTAAATTTGTGGAAGAGCGGAGGTGCTGAAGACGCTGTAGCGGCGCAACGGTCATTTGACGTCATTCTAAAAGCTAAATTCCTGTAAAGATGGTGTATTGTTTGGTGTAACGGGGCACACACCCTTCTTGAACTTAACGCAAGGGTGACGTGTGCCTGACAATGACAATGAGCGTACACAGGGCAACCGAGTAAGCGGTAGACAAAACTGAACCCAAAAGCTCTGTCTTGAGGGAAAAGTAGAACTGTTTATTTAATATAGTTATAACGTTAATAAATCATTTCTTGACTTTCTCAAATATATTGAACTATCTTCGCCTTTGTGGGTACCTTGCTCACCACTCATTGTGCGCGTCTTGCGGCGATTGGTGGGTTGATATCATCAAGATATCAACCAATGAACAGACTCTTTGTTCTACCCTTCAATATCTCCACTTTGGTGATATTGTTCAAAGAACATATAACTTCATAATCTTTATTGTCATTGTTTCTTTATAGTGACAATTTCCATGTAACGGGCTGCCCCGTTACACCTTGGCGACCGTACTCTATATACCCGTCCACGCACTCGGTCTCACGTATCTCCGACTCTTCGAAACTATGCAGCGCTACAGCTGCACTACCTCGAGACCTGATGAAAGCAAGAGCTTTCATCGATGGCGGATCTACTTTGATACAAGGCCATCCATCAATCTGCAAATACGTTCCACTTTTCGCCTAAGACCGAGACAGCTTCACGCAAAATCTTATCTTCTTTTGGCGCATAAGTTGACCGCGTGTTTCCCGAATTTAGCGCTGTCTGGTACAGAGTTAGACAATGAGCTGCTGGTCGCCCCTGGCACTGGTATGCGCTTTGCAATCTCACGCCACTTATTCACCAGTTTCGGTTCTGCAAGTCCCGTGGCCAACCGTCGAGGCGTTGTGTCTTCCTCGTCCTTTGGCCAAGCCGTAACGTCGGCGACTTGTGCAAGTCATTCCACACATTGCACGCAATACCCGATCTTCTAAGTGGGAAGTTTCTCGATTTGCGTGCCTCCTGCCACGCGCGAATTTTGTTCCGCGCTTGCAGAAGTATCTTCACGTTAGCGTCTTGTGTCATGTAGAATTCTTCGGCGAACTCCGCGACGACTTTATGCCTTGACTCGTGAAATCGTAGTGTGGCTCGGCAACAAAGTACTCGTGACTGTGAGAACGCAGAAACATGGATGTCGTTGCCACTGCCGGTGGTCAGATCTTGGCATCGTATCATTAATTTGTATACCAACTATGAGACAGTAGAGATCCCAGCAGGCATTGCCCGTTTAGGTACCGCCCTGGCTAATATAAACTGATAAAATATCACGCATGAGTGCATTTACAGATTAAGAAAGGATTATTTTAAGCAGTAGTTCGAAGTGACTACGTGTTTTACTTATCCTGCACCATAAAATGTGAAGTCCTTTTTTATCATTTTAGGCGGGTGGGTGTGCCCGTAGCGAAAATGGGGTGTGCCCCTTACAAAAATGGGGTGTGCTCTTATTCGTGGCCTTATTTGGGAAGGGAAAATCAAGCCCTCAAGTACTTTGCACAGCAAGACCTCCGACATTCCACAATCCGTGTATAAGAGCTTCCTTCGTCTTGTACAACCCTTCTTTTCGTCAATCCATGTCTTCGCATGCGTATTTTGTACCTCCCAGCTCTTGCAATGGCCTGTCTGCTAGCCCGTAGCGATGCCTTTGTAGCAGTGTCGGAATCCAGCAAAACATTGCCGTCTGACGACACTCCGTTGGCATTGACCACCCATCTGCTTGGCGTAGCCCATGTCCCTCCGACTCGTCACCTACGAGAGAAGGTACCCCCGGACACTGAGGACAAGAATCCAGAGGCTAGTAAGCCGGAATCCGATTCTGACGATAGCTCTGACGCCCATGGTTCCAGTGGTCATGATGACATCAGTGAAAGTGGCAGTGGCGACAGCAGTGACAGCAGTGGAAGCCGCCATAAAAGCGGCAGTCGCGGCAGCAGCAGAGAGAAGAAGAAACCCAAGATCTGGAACTTTTCTAACAAGTGGCAGGACCAAGATGGCATCCAGCTGTCAGTGTACCAGTAAGCGCACAAGCCTCGAGTTCGTCACATTTCCAAGATGCTCAGCGGTCATTTGTGGTACTGAAGAGATACATGAGTGACTTGTGGGAGAAATACAGCATGTGTCTGATAAAGAAGGCATCAAATTGATTCATCCTTACAGAGGTTTTCGTTTTTCAATGCGGTTGTTGTATGTCATTGCGCTGGGCATCTCTTCATGCGTAAACGACATGGTGTCGTAGACTCAAACAAACAGCCTTTGCGTGCCTCAAGTTAGCACCAAATGTTCGAGTTCAGCGATTGCCGGTTCGTTCTTCGCTACAATCAAAGCAAAGTCCGACACGTGCTGCTCAAAAGTTGCACCAGGACCCCAGATACTGAGCATACGGCCTCTCGGCAAGAAAAACTGTCGAAGCACAACCACCTCTAAAGTGCATAATCCTCCTGTGGGGTCATACACGTGAGAGAATAAAGCCGATTCTGTCTGCCGTTTCTGTAACTGAGTGTCAAACACGACCCTAGCGTGGATTGATAGACCACGCACCCGGTAGCGCACGAATTTAACGAGCAAATTAGCAACAGGAAGTAATGCATTGCGCTGAAGGGGATGGAAGCGGCGTCATTGTAACGGGGCACACCCTTGCGTGAACTTAACGCAAGGGTATCGGTGCCCCGACAGACGTACACGTAGCAAGCGAGGAAGCGTAGGTAGGGTAAAAGCAGAACTGTTATATTAATAGAATTAAGTCTTTTAAGTACTGTCTCTCTGTTTGACTTAACTTAATTATGCTAATCTAACTGAGTGTATGGTGACGTCTCGTCACCACTCATTGCGCGCGTCTTGCGGCGATTGGTGGGTTGATATCATCAAGATATCAACCAATGAACAGACTCTTTGGTCGACCCTTCAATATCACCACTTTGGTGATATTGTTCAAAGAATATATAACTTCATATTCTTTATTGTCACTTTCTTTAAAGTGACAATTCCATGTAACGGGCTGCACCGTTACATCACCCCCCCTTAACTGATAGTCACCGTGTGACTATCGAAAATATGGAGGCCACCCGTTGGCCACCATTGGGACAGGGAGCACTTGTTGGGTCCGTTCCATTCACTTTCCGCTTGACCTCGCATATTTAACATGTCTATGCGAGGTGACTCAAGACCTACACAGCCCGGTGCTGTGTCAGCCTCTGCAGCAGACGATTCGTCGTCTGCTACCCCTTCTTCGCCTGCAGCAACAGGTGCTGCAGGTGCACGCGGCACCTCACCGCGTGCGCATGATGACCTCGACGTAGAAGTCATCTACTCTGGCGAGTCAGACGTGTCTGACTCGGGCAATGCGCCAGAGGCTTCTCGCTCACCGGCGACGCCTCAGTATTCGCCAAGGCAACTGCCGAACGAACGGACTCGTGAGTTGAAACACAGTCTGTTCGGCAGTGATGACGAATCGGGTGATGAGTATGTTTGCTCATCACCGCAATCAGCTCGTGCTCCTTCGCACGAGCGACTTGACGATGGTGCAACCCATCGTCATACTGACAACCGTGGTACCGACAAAGGTACCACTGTGAAGCGTGATGAGCTGAAGCCGTGGCGTTTGCCCGAACGGCTCATCAATAGCTTGTCTCACGAGACAAGCCAACACCATCGAATACCCTTATTCGATGCGACTGAGCTTCACGGCTTGAGTTTTAGCGCAAAGAACTTTCGCGCTGAAGCAGATTTTTATCTCGATGTCCTTCTCAAACATCGATGGTACAACAGCAACCAAAAGCGTGACAAAACATCGCTTTTGGCTGCGTGGAACGCGTTCGTCCAAAACGTAACGAATTTTGGACGAGAAGGGTGGCTCAAGAAACTTGAGGCGACACGCCTCAGGTTCGAAAGGCGAACGCCAACCGGTGCTAGGTACCGGTTGCACTGTTTATCGAGTGAGGCAGGCATTCCTTGCCTCACATGGGTAGAACCTTGTGCGAGTTGTGTTGATAACTCGCAGCGTGCACATAGGGATGTGTACTCCCTAAATTCGCCCTGGGGAAGGGCACACATCTCGGCTGAGATGCGTGACGCGATTGCAAACTTGCAATCCGTCTACAAGCGCCTAGGGCGCGTGTTTACCGATGGGCCACAGGACTCATCGGATGGGTCTCGTCATACTGGCGGACGAGACCTTCAACATCCATCAACAGCTGAGAGCGGGGCTCCCAGCTGTTCCAAGAGGGTGGATACCCCCGCCACTGGACGAGGTAGCTCCCCCTTGATCCTGAATCGTCACGGTGATTCAAGATACGCTCCACTAGAAAGCGTTGATCACCGTGAGCATCCACCAAAGGATGTGGTGGAGGAGGAAAGACCTCCTCTAGATGATTCGGTTCACCATCTCGAACCTTACGAGATGGATCGCGCAATCGATGAATTGTGCGATGACTTGAAGCACGAGCGCGACCGGCGCTACGCTTTGACTGATACCGTGCGGAAGAACCGCAAGGATCACGAGGCTGATCGGGCGAGGGATCGCGCCGATTTTGCCACAGCGCAGCTTCAGGTCGAGCGGGATGTCCGCTTCCTATTCGGCGAGCTGTCGGCAGCTCGCGGGGAGATATCTCGGTTGAGTTCCGAGGTATCATATCTGCGCGACCAGACGGATCGTCTGGAGCGCGAACGCAAGAACTTGATGGATGTTCTTGAACGTGGGGGCTATCTTCATCGGAAGAAGAAGGCTCGTACTGACAGTACGACCTAAGCCTCCCCACGTAAAACGTAGGATGCGTGCGCATCCTACGTGGCAATTCGAGTGTGTATGCATTGCCCTTGCGATGCAACACTCGAAATGGCCCAATGTATTTCGGCAGTAGTTTACTACTGCCGACACTAGTTACTGCATGTCCAGGTAAGTTTACCGTAGACAGTAGTACTAGGTCATTAACCTTGAATGAAAGAACATTTGCTCTTCCATTCTTGTCTGCGTTCCGTTTCTGACGGTCCACCGCATTTGCGATGGAGTCCTGAACGAAACGGACTACCGCTTCTCGAGTCAGCAGGAAGTTCTCTGCTGACTCTTTGTTTTGTCTTTCAGTGCGCTTCGTGCGCACTGATAAGAGATTGCTCTCTTCTTCAGCGAGGTTGTCTTCTTCCTCGCTGGCATAATCGTTGACGATGCTGAATATGCCAGCATCGTCATCATCATCCGAGTCAATAATAGCGTCATCGCTATTATTGAGGCGATCTTCTTCATCGATGTCGACTTGATCGACATCGGCATCATACGTGACGACGTTAGCGTCGACACGTGATGAGCAAGAGCCAGAACGGTTTTTGCTCGAGCGAGTCCCTCCCCCCTTATCCAAGAGTCACACTCTAGAAGGGTGGGCACTCGTGGATGGCGTAGGCCATTCACGTAAAACGGTGTGTGCTGTGTTGAAGCATGCACCGAATTATTGATGGCGAATTCCACCATGGGTAGGAATTCGCTCCAACTCGGAAACGAGCGGACATATCCTCGAAGGATCTCTTCGAGGACACGGTTCGCACGTTCCGTCTGACCATCTGTTTCGGGATGGTCAGAATTAGACATTTTCAATCGTGTTCCCAATGTGCGGAACACGGTTTGCCAAAATGCCGCCGTGAACCGAGGGTCACGGTCGGATACGAGTTCACGGCGTAACCCGTGGTGTCTAAAGACCGTGTCGAGAAAGACACGCGCACAACCGTGTGTTTTGATCGACTCAGGGACTGTGGCAAGATGTACCATCTTGCTGAATCGGTCAACAAATACAAGAATACCATTATTCTTGTGAGCGTCTTCGGGAAAATCGAAGACGAAGTCCATTGAAACGGACTGCCAGCACTCTGCCGGAACAGGCAGAGGCTGCAATGGCGCACGGGATGAAGGACTAGGCTTCACCCGTTGACAAACCTCGCAAGCACGTATGTACTTTCGAACAAACTGATACTGGCGGGGCCAGTAAAAGTCGCGACTTACCGTGAGGTAAGTCTCTTCTCTACCACGATGGCCGCTTGTTGGGGCATCGTGACGCTCATACATGATGCGCAAACGCAAATCATGATGAGCGGGTACGACGACACGAGGCGTGTCGTCGGCAACAGCTGTATAGTACAGCAATCCGTTGCGTGTACTATACCGATCCGATGAGGATCGGTACAAAGCCGGTAAATCCCTCATGGATTTACTGGATGGATTCACCAGATGATCCATCAATCGCAGAAGATCCTTATCTTCCGCGTATGCCTTTCGTACGTCGTAAAGTAAACTTGACGACGGGACACTGACTGACAGTGTCGCAACAGTGGGCTTATCATCACTGTTGGATTGCGCGTCCGGCTCGAAATCGGGCCGGCGCAAAAGAGCATCAGCGACGACATTGAGTCGTCCTGGTTTATACTCCACGGAGAAGTTATACTCCGCGAAGAAAGACAGCCACCTCGCCATCCTTTGCGAGAGATGTGGGCTGTTTACGGCCGTGCGTAATGACGCATGGTCCGTATAAACGATGAACGGTCTATCTCCCAAGAGATAGACGCGAAATTTAGCCAGTGCGTACTTCATGGCAAGGTTTTCCTTGTCATGCACTGAGTAATTACGCTCAGCTGCTTGCAGCTGACGCGACTGATAACAGATGACGCGCTCCGCGCCATCTGCATCGAACTGCATTAACGCACAGCCGATTGCGAAATCGCTGGCGTCACAGACCACATGAAATGGTCTGTCCTGATCTGCAATCGCCAAGATCGGCGATTGCATCAAGCTTTGCTTGATACCTTCTAAGGAACGCTGGCACTCAGCGTTCCATGACCACTTGACATTTTTCTTGAGCAAGCAAGAAAGATGAACAGTCATCTCGGCGTAGTTGCGCGAGTACTTGTGCAAGTACGCCGCTAGACCAAGGAACTTCCTTAGTCCCTTGACATCGACTGGCACTGGCCAGTCGGTGATCGCCTTGATCTTTTCGGGATCAGGGCGTACGCCGTGTTTACCTACGATGCACCCAAGAAGTGGT